CAAAAAGGCTTTTTGCACTAGCTCGCGCCTTCCCCATAGTCAGCGAGAGAGAGAGAGAGAGAGACAGAGAGAGATTGCTATGATGATCATTATTAGTATTATTGTTATTATTGTTATTATTGTTGTTATTGTTATTCCTATTATTAGTATTACTACTATCATTATTATTACTAGGATTATTACTATTAGAGGAAAAAATGGGGAAGCATAAGACTTGCCCTGATGTACTGAAGGTCTCACTCTACCCGGGTGACGGTCTCATGGAGAACACATTCTCTGTAACTGTAAATATAGGAGTTTCCATTTTCTCTTCCATTATCCCCATATAACCCCAATATCATTTGCTTTTGAGGTATAGGAATGATATGTTACCTAGCCGAAGCTTAGAGCCCAGGGGTCTGTCATGGGGTTAACAGGGGGAGACCTCCGACCAGATAGGTGCAAAATTGGCACAAAGTTCCCACCGTTGTAAACATAGCAAGGCATTATCCTCAAGTGGAAGCCACTGGGCAACAAAATTGCCCTCGAACAAGAAAGTGCAGAGTGAAGAAAGAAATGGACGATAGTACCATCCACGGGGGGGGATTGGCCCAAAGCACCGCGATTACAAGCTGTTGCCGGAGTTATCCCGAGGAATGCCTGGACTAGCACACAGTGGGGACATTGCAGCAAGAGGGGGGGGGACGGGGCCTCGAGTCCATGTCGTTCAAAGATAGATTTCCGAATTCGCAATAGTTGCAGGTTTTACGTGAGGGATGACCATGCTGCAGTGCCGTGAAGGTAACATAGCTTGAAGTTGTGCAGGTGACCCATGGGGAATAGTGATCCAGGCCATCATGCAGTAAACCAATCATCTAATCTCGCATGCTTGTGGTATACATGATGTGATGGGAGTATGCGATCAGCACAGTGCATGTTTCTGCCAGAGGGCACATGTCGCTGGACTGCCAGCAGAGCAGTTTAGTGGGATGTCGGGCAAATCTTCGTGGAAGACTGCGGTGGGGAGATAAATTGTTGATGTGGTTTGTTGGGGGGAGAAAACTGCAGCTTCCGCTTTGGAGTTTCACCACAGGCTTGAGTAGGGTGGAGGCTGATAGGGGATGTCCAGTGGCGTTGGTTCCGCGGCGTTGTTTCTCGAGCTAGTTTGGGTTATCGTGTGTGAGTGGATGATTGGTCAAGAAATTGGATGTCCCCCTAAATCCTGAACCCTAAACCCCTAAATCCCATATGGTAGTCTCCCTAAATCAGGGAACCCCAATATAGACCCCAAAATACTATAATCCTTATTATGGGGACCCCCAAAAAGGTACCCCTAATTTTGGGAAACCCTAATCCCTATAATCCTCTATATAATCACAGTTTCCATTTCATTTTCCATTTTCTTTTCCATTTGATTCTCCATTATAGTAGGTACCCCTAATTTTGGGAAACCCCCATATTTGCAGTATCCCTGTCCTCGCCTGCAGACCGATCCCACGGACCGTCGCGCGGCCATGGGTCGTAGGCTTAGCCCCGAACTGCCTCTTAGGGGCTGGGTAAGGGTAGAAGAAGAAGAGGGAGAGAGAGCGAGAGAGCGTACAGGAGAGTACAGTGTTTAGGGTTTAAGGTTTAGGATTTAAGGTTTAAGATTTAAGGTTTAGGGTTCCGAGATCTCGGAATCTATTTGCTAGAGGAAGCTTGGTAAACATGATTCTGTCCATTCAAAACCTGAAATTTCACAGGACCGAACCTACCAAGAAGCCCAGGCTCGGGGACCGAAGCCCAAGCCCCGATCTCAAACCCTAAACGCTTAACCCTAAACCCAATTTTTCACATATTCCCCAAAGCCTCAATTTCGTGTAGTACGGCGTCATAATTTAACATGATTTGAAATTCTCAGTATACTGCAGCCCCGTGAGGAATACATGAGTCTGATTCGAAACAGTATCCCAATGAGGGACCAGCAGAATGCTCCATGGTCACAGGGATCATAGTAGGGGTTATATGCAAACCACTATAGGTACCCAGCGCCACAGTCCCAATGCGTGAGCAATTAAACCTAAGAGCACGAAACCCATTTCGGCAAGCCCTAAACCTAAACCCTGGAAACCCAAAACTCTAAACAGCCAGTACATCCCAAACCCAGACCTTAAACCCTAAACCCTGAACCCTAAACCCTACACCCTAAACCCTGAACCCTAAATCCCTTAAACCCTAAACCCTAATCCCTTAAACCCTAAACCCCTGAAACCCTAAACCCTAAACCCTAAACCCTCAATCTACAGCCACCAAGGCGTTCTCAACCCAAATAGGCCGCCCACCACACGCGCCATGGCACTACGAGCTGCCAGGAGAGTCCGTGTCTCGGTTTGGGTTTGAGTGGGTGTGAAGGCTTTAGGATTTGAGGGATTTAGGGTTTAAGGGATTTATGGTTTAAGGTTTAGGGATTTAGGGTTGAAGGTTCAGGACTTGGAGTGTGGGAAAAGCCCCCAACCCTAGACCCAAAACCCCAAATTGGAGCTTGGGGTTTAGGAGCTGCTAAGGGATGACTCATCTGTGGGATCTCCATATTATAGGCCTAGGCCCTAAAACGTGGTACTCTTGGGAGTATTGAGAGGCAGCTTTCATGTAGGGTGCAAGCCCGGTATCCGTAGAAAGTGTCGTGATCGATTACTTCAGAGTTTTGTTCGATTTGTTGATCCGGTCTGACCTGGTGATTTGTCGATTGTCTTCTCACGGGTTCCCGACAACCTTTACATTAAACATCTTTTCTTCACGGGCATAAAGGGCCTTCTTCATAATACCTGTTTGGCATTGAGGGTTCTGCCTCTTGTTCAAGATTTCGCCAAGCTGGGTGCCATACATGGCAGTTGATCCATATGCGGGTTTCAGCATGGTCACTATGGAAGGTGATGTCCTTTAACATAGTTGCATGAGCCCGCAAGGGAAGAGCGCTTTTGTCCAGCAAGGACCCTCAGACCAAAAAGACTCCTGCGCACAGCGATGAGGCCTTCAGATTGCGCTCTAAACCTTATAGCCTAAAAGGCTTTCAGCTTTTAGACCTACATCGAGAACCCAAACCCGAAACCCTGGACCCTTACCTCAAATCCCAAAGCCCTGGACACGGGACTTCGAGGTGATGGGTTCGCATTTGTTGGCATAACAGAAGTGCCTTGGGAGATGCTGGAAGAAGTTCTATCAGTGTAGAAATCAGTTACTGGTGGTTAAACCGAGAGTACCGAGAGTGGGGGAGTGGATCCTTATGATAATCCCCATATATACTCCTAAAGTGGTACCTATATTCACTCCCCCACTCCCCCTTAAGCACCGGGAAGGTCAACATGCCGACCTGGTATTCGGGTGGTGTATGACATAGGCGCTTTGGGTCTACAGACGCACGGTATGCGGAATTTATACACTTATTGGTTCTTAGTAGGGGCTAAGGGAATGGACTATACGCGGATTATATGGGGATTCTATTCCCTTTTTGCCGACTAAGAGCCAGTAAGTATAGTATAGCAACCGCAACATGCTGGCGATCCATGGTTGTAGCACGGGAATTTACCTCGGAGCGAAACGGCTTGTGGTTGGTTGATTATAAATTAGATCTTGAAGGTTTCTGTGGTTTTAGGGCTTAGGGATTCATGTGGCCCTAAACTCCCTAAACCCTAAACCCAAAACCCTAGACCCTAAACTCTGGGCCTGAACTGCATGAGAACCAGGAAGGATTGTCCTCAAAAAGTTGCAAGCAATCCTGAGCCATCCATCATCAACTATATTGAAACAAGAGCCCTGAACGAGAATCCCTAAAGCCTAAACCATGCAGAGGCCGCCCTAAACCCTAAACCCTAAACCTTAAACCCTAAACAACCTTTAGGCTGCAGAATGACCCCACGGTCCTTAGCACGGATCCTTTCCGCATGACGGAATATAGGGTTTAGAGATGTAAATATTGGGGCTATATTGGGGTTATATAGGGATAATGGAAAAGAAAATGGAAACTACTATAATGGGCTTATATGGGGATTATAGGGTATATAATTATTGGGGTTATATAGGGATAATGGAAAAGAAAATGGAAACTACTGTTTAGGGTTTAGGGTTTAGGGTTAAGAGTTTAGAGATGTATGGCTAGTCCCCTTAAGTAGATAGAACATGGCTGTGGGTACATTATAATAGGATCCCCATATACGCATATTCTATCTACTTAAGGGGGACTATACGTTAGGACCCCGAATTTGAGGGCTTAAAGTAGGGAGTCGTGGTTGCGACGCTAAACTCAACCTCGAACCCTGAGCCCTTAATTCAAGTCATGAACCCAAACCCCAAACCTTCAACCATACATACATCCTTTAACCCCTGAACCCCAAACCATATACATATATATATATATACAGAGAGAGAGAGAGAGAGACAGCGAGTTCAATTCTGCGACTCAGGAGTGGGACTTATCCATCTGCCTTTTTCACAAGATGTTCGGAGGCTCTTGCAAACCCTCCGACTTCGAAGACATACGCCCCAGTTGCTTGCTCAGCTTAACAGCTTGTGCTGAACCCTAAACCGGAACCTCTACACAAAGCCCCTGTAATTCCCTATTCATGAGACCCCCTCATTTTCAAAGATATTCGCCTAGCTGCTGAGCTTGTTTGAATCGTTTAGGGTAAAGGGTTTCGGGTTGAGGGTTAGGTATCTTGAGCGCAGAGACCTACACCAGTAGTAGAAAGCTTAAGGGGTTAGGGTTTTTGGTTGTGAGCGCCTGACTAATCAGATTCGTAGGGTCTCCGGGATTTCAGGCAGGGGCCTAAGCGGTGAGCAGGGTCTTCGTTTTTATGTCACCTCATTTATAGAAGGATTAGACGGGGTTCATATCACTAATTGTTTTGGTTTCTGCATGAGGCCTCTGTACCTTGGCCCTTCCTTCCTTTAGCCAGCATAAAACAGAAGAGCTTGTGCTGGCGCTAGAGGGTTTCTCTCGCAGCCTGGTTCATGTTTTCTAAAAGCCTTTGTGGTGGAGACGTAAGGTTCCAGCGGGAAAAGTGCAAGCTCCGACTACAACACCACGAGCCTGAACGGCTGGCATGACGACCTTGACGGACTGGTCTACCAAGCCGCGCTTGACGTCTTTCATAAAAATCTGGCAGAGTTCAACGCCTCCCATGCCGGGTGCAGGCAGTGTTACAGCGATGCAGGAAGGGCGCACTTGTATTTGAGTGCATCCTGAATGTCATGCAGACCGAGACCACTCCCAGGCTTTTCGGCCACCGCAGCGCGTTTAGCCTCGGAGGGTTTGTACATTCGCAGAGGGTCCATGAACTTTTGCTAGTTGTGGGTCAGTAGTCTGACAGTCACCAGAAGAACACTAGTTGAAGTGTGCTTGACAAGACAGGTAGCAATTAGTATATGAGATTTGCAGCATGGTTTGTAATGTTGCCGGCGGTAGAATGAGGCCAGAACAATGTACTAGCAGCTGCGACCATCAACCCAGCAGTCACAGAGGTAGTTCCCAACGTCAGTAGCTAGTCAAATAGTTGGTGTAATAGCCATGACATAACTGGCGCCCATAGTTGCCTGCAGAGATTTTCTCGAACTGAGCGTGTTCCAGTCTTCCATCATTCATGTGTCATCACTTTGGCGTCGTCATCATCATCATCATCATCATCATCGTTGTCGTCGTCATCGTTGTCGTAATCATCATCAGCATCATCATCATCATCATCATCATTATCATCATCACCAGCAACCTTCAAAGCCGCAGCAACAACAAAAGCGCACATTATGATCATGGAGACCTGTTGCGCCGGCGGAATAACATAATTAAATGGCGGCAATGGTTTGTATGGTTCGTGACGGGTATTGTCCAAAGCTGACACTGAACACTTACAAACGCTATTAACCATAGTTGTTGTGTACTTCTTCTCTTATAGTCGCATCCACCCCTGAAGACGGTTTAGATTTCAGCCGTGGTGCTTGGACCCTTTGGGATGGTAAGTGCGCGTGCAGGCAGTGTTGATACCGCAAATCCTACAGGACATTGGTACATCAGAATACCGTAATCCCAAGGTAGAAGCTGATTCCGGGTCGTGCAGGATTTTTTTTCGTATCAGCCGTAGCACGTGTACAAAGATGGCAGACGCAGCGGAAAAAAACTGCTATGGAGACATTGTTTTGGAAGGTTTTAGCAGTTTAGAGTTCACGGCTTGGGGTGTTCAAGTTTCAGGTTTTTAGCGGGATGACTTTGCCAGTGTCCTTAAGACCCTGCAGCAGATATGTAGAATATTTTTCTAGTCTCAAGGATGTCTTGGGGGCTAGGGTGGGGCGAATATGAATGTTTATATAGGCACATATCTAGGTGTATGTAGGCTGTTGTCGGATTGTTCCAAAGATCAACCCTCCGCTACCTCTTAACATCCCGGGTTCAATGCTTCCCTGGCTGGATATACCATCATTGGGACGGTGTTTGTCATGTCGGTTTGAGAACTACCCAACGCAAGAAGAAGTAGCAGCAGTAGCAGTAGCAGTTTGAACAACAATGGTGTTTATGGCAAAATCCTGAATGACCTTATGTACATATTGCCTGGTAATTGTATTAGTATTGGTGCACTATATTTAAAGTCATGCAGGATTTGGTCCTTCAACTGTAGAAGCAACAGTAGTAGTTGTGCGGCAAGAGTAGTAGTGCTAGCAGTATCAGTGTTGTTGGACAGGTGGTCGTGGTGGCGGCAAATTGGGGAGTGTATTTACCATAGTCCCTCCCACTGCTTGTGTCCGCGAATTTCATGGCCATGTTTCATTGAATTGAAAATGTACCTTTGGCTCGGTACTTCAAGGAAGACCTTCGGCATTTTAACATCGGGCTAGGAGTTGGCAAATTTGGTTCCGGTTCCATGGTTCATCGAAGATCAACACTGTTCTGCTGAGAAACGGCTTGAATCCACTTAAGGCACCGCCAATTCCTTGTATACCATATTCTAAGAAAAGATGCGGTTTAGTCTCATCAGTTTCAATGTGGATTACAAATATATCTGGAATGTTCTTCATTCCAGACAAAATTCATAGTTCAAAGTTGTGGAAGTTCAAACAGCGTTGCGCAAATGCCTCGAATTCTTCCCAGTCTATCTACAAAATCTGGGGGAACGCTGACCGAGCTGAATTAAGCCTCTGCCAATTTTTGAGGGTTTCTAATTCCATGTTGTTATTCGCAATCAGTTCCTGCTAGTGCCCCTCCGCATGCCTGGAAGACTCCGACTTCTATGTAAAATTCCAGTGAACCAAAGAGATTGGGATGGTTATGGATAGTTTGTCAAACTAGCGTGCATTTAAAACCCCATGAGCACAGCGATCCTTGCAGAGTGGGGTGTTTCTTTTCACAAAGGCGCGCTCTTGTGGCCCCAGTTTTGTGGTAGTGGTCTCTTTATTTTTTCTGGAAGCCCTCAACCATAGATTCCGTTGGCAGTTGCATTTCAACAAGTGTTGATCTTTCAGTGTAACAGAGCAAGACGTATCTGGCTCACAGGAGAACTCTAAACTCAAAGCAACAAAAGCTCGAAACTCCACACCCTAAGCCTTAAACTCTGAAACCTGAACCCTAAACCCTGAACCTTAAACCCGAAGCCCTAAAACCTTAATCCTGCCTTCCCCTCGCGAAACCTCAGGCGTGCATCACAAGTGCCTGTGCCTTGCAGCTTGGCTGGCTTCGAGTGTCTTAGGGTTTTCCCTTTTATAGGGATAATGGAAGGAAAAATGGAAACTATTATCATAGAGGTTAGGGTTTCGGGTTGAGGCTTTAGGGGTTTAGGGTTACAGGTTTTAGGGTTTTAGGGTTTTAGGGGTTTAGGGTTTAGGGTGGAGGGGTTTTAGGGTTTGAGGGTTTAGGGGGTTTAGGCATTCAGTGGTTTAGGGTTTAGGGGTCTGGGTTTTAGGGTTTTAGGGTTTTGGGGTTTAGGGGTTTGGGGTTTAGGGGTTCAGGGTCTAGGGTCTAGGGTTTAGGGTATTTGGGATTCTGAATGCTGCCCCCAATCAGAAACAGTTGGGTAAGGTTGTAAACTGAATATAGACAGCCCTTAACATCGCTACATTTCCCCCCCCTTGTAGAATGTTCCTGAGCGGGGGCAGTACCCCATCCACATCGCACATTTAATTCATGGAAAAGCAACTGGAAAAAGAACATGGAAAATTACATGGAAAAGGCTATGGAAACTGAACTACAGGGGTGTGACAAAACACTCTCACCCGCTATCAGCAAATATTCCTCATTGTACCAGTACACTTGTGTAGTTGGGAGTATTCACTAGCAGGGGTGGGAGTGTTTGATAACAGGGGTCATGTAGAGCTTGAACGGTTGGATTTCAGGGATGATGCTAGAACCCAAAACCCTGAACCCTGAACCCTGAACCCTAAACCCTGTTTAGGGGTGCTTAAGGGGGAGTGGGGGAATGAATATAGGTGCCATTTTAGGCAAGTATATAGAGATCATTATAATGGTTGGTGGTCATGCTAATGGAAGAGAATTGAATACGGAGGGTACCTCACTCATTATCATTTCCGCAGCAAATCGGTGTCTCAGCTTGTGGTGTAGGATACAAGATCCCAACTTCCAAAAGCACCGCTGCGGACGTCGTCAGACATTCTACAAAACCATCGCCTTGGCTTACTGGAGGTTAGTCGGGGATATGGGAATATATCATATGGGGATTATCTAGGGCTTTTAGTCCTTCATTCTTTACTAACCCCACAGTTGGGGTTCAGATCCCGCGCAGAGAAGGATGACCTGGCCTGAAAGGCTCCGGCTGTTGTTGGAGTAATTGATGGCTGGACCCTCTGCATGGGGTTTACGGCTTTAGGGTTTGGGGTTTCAGGGTTTTAGGGTTTGGGGTTTTAGGGTTTTAGGGTTTTAGGGCTTACAGGGTTAGGGAAAATCTGTAGAGGGCTGTCTGCCTAGCTCTTCTGGCTAGCTCACTCTTGCTGAGGCCCGTGGGAGGGGAAGCAATTTGGGAAGCTGTCGCACGATCGTCACGTGCTTTTGAGCTTGCGAGACAGGATGCCCTGTCCAAACATGCCCTTGCGCGCTGTTCGAGTGTAATTTGACGCGGAGATGTAGAGTGGAATGTAATTCAGAAAGCGTGGGGTGTTGTCGGGGGAGACTGCCTTGCGAAATGCATGCCAAGCATGTCTTTGTCGAGTCTTTGCAAAGCTAATTCTTCGCCACCCGTCCCCTCAAAAGGCAACCTCAGCGTTGACGTTAAGTTCTGGACGCTAAAGCCGACAAATCAAATTTGCACCACAAGAACGTACGGGCATCTGAATCTCAGCGCGTGAGCACGCTGATTTTTCAAGCATCTTCCCCAAGGGGCAAACTTTCATTGTAACCTCATAGCCCAGCCTTTGCCCGGTAGCCCGAAAACTTTGACCCGTGAAGCCCAAAGCTTTGAAGTGGGCCGTGACCCTCAGAATCAGGAGCAAACAAGGCGGCCGCAGCATCTTCTACTTATTCTATGTGTGTGTCAGCTGAATGCGGATTATAACGCCTTGAATGCCAGAAACTACTTCTAAAGCTCTGCACACCAAGCCTGATTTCCTAAATCCTGTATCCCGGAAAATTGCCAAGGAGGGATACCGTGCTGTCCGAGGCTATTGCGAGAAGCACGAGGACAGTGGGCATGCGTCGGCTATAACGGCTTATGTAGGGTTCAAAGTTTGCATCTGCATTTTTCCTCCGGATTATGGTGGGATTTTGCAGAAAGAAGTTTACACACACACACACACACACCCCACACACACACACACACCCCACACACACACACACACACACACACACACACACTTGCAGGCATCCCCGGAGGGATGTAGTAGGTTCTAGCTGCTCCGCTTTATCTCTGTGTTGATCAATCCAGCTGCACT